AAAAGAAATATGCATATGTAATGTTTTTATAACAACTTAATTGCCTTTAAAGGAGGTCTTTGACATTTTTATATGGGTTTTAATTTCTATCTGGGTACTTGATTTTAACCAGATAAACTTACGTTATTTAGATTTCTTGTGAGGTGAGTCTGCTACTAACTAACTCTCTTAGTTACTGTTCTTCTGGAATGCTTTGCCTTCTTCATTTTTTAATACACTTTTGCTGGAATTAATACTGTTTTAGCACCCTGAAAACATTATTCCAGTGCCTTCTGCCTGCAATCTTTCTTAAGAAAAATCAGCTGATAATTATATTGGGGGTTCCTTCATGTGTGAGAAACATTTTTTTCTCTAACTACTTTTAAGATTTTCTCTTTATCTTTGAATATTTTGCTGTGGTGAGTCTGTGTGACTGTTTTACTTAGAGTTCTCGGACCTCCTTGAATGTGTAAATTAATGGTTTTCATCAATTTGGGGGTATATTCAGCCATTGCTCTTTCAAATATGTTTTTCTGCTTCTTTTGCTGTCTTCTCCTTTTGAAATTCCTTTTCTGTATATTTGGGGCACTTAATGGAATCCCACCTTTCTTTGAGGCTCTGTCCATTTGTATTCATACTTTGTTCATTTGTTCATCCTCTTCAGAATGCATACTTTCTAATGACCTAACTTCAAGTTCATTGATTTTTTCATCTGTAAGTTCCTATCTATTGTTTAGCTCCTGCTGTGAAATTTTCATGTCAGTTATTACACTTTTCAACTCCAGAGTTTCTATTAGGTCCCTTTTTTTGGTCCTTTTTTCCTCTGTATGATGACACATTGTCATCATACTTTATTTTTTAAATCATGGTTACTTTAGTTCTAGTGAATATATATATATATATTCAGTGTCTGTTAAGTACAACACATGGGATTTCTCACTGACATGTTGCCTGCTTCCCCCTTTTATGAGTCATACTTAACTGTTTGCACAATTCATAGTTTGGCTGAAATCTGTACATTTTAGAAAATAAACTATAATAGCCCTGGATACTGATTCCTACTTCTCCTTTGGGGCTTGTTGATTTTTTTCTTAAAAGACAGTTTGGCTTGACAACTTTAATAAAGTATATTTTCCCCACAGCATGAAGTTTCTGTTGCACAGTGACCCCAGGGTGACAGTAGCATTACCAGGACTCCCTTGATCTTTCTGCTTAACTGTCTGCTTCTCTCTGTATCTCCCTTCACTACTAGACTCCACCACTGGTAGCTGATTGCACCACTGTTTCCAGCAATACCTTGGAAGGGAGGGTATAAATTGCCCCACAGTCTGACTAAATTAAATGTGAGCCCTTTGCAGAGGTAGTCTTTGAAGCCAACCTTTTCACTGGCCTCTGACTCCAGGAGACCTCTTAGCTGCCTCTTTCCCTGCTCTTTGGTGAGCAAGATGGCCCGAACACTTCTGAATTGCTTACCACCAAAACCTCTATTTTCCCCCTAGAGTGTCCTTCCCCCACATTCTCTTCTAAATTATTTTGACCTCTTTTCAGAGAGATTCAGAATTCTTTATTCTTAGGTCTGACTTCTCCCTCTGAGAAAAATATCTGAGCTGCCATTTTGGATTTTGCTGTGGATACAGGTGCCTATCTCTCTTGGAGCTATGAGCTCTAAGTTCTCCCAGGTCTACAAGCAGGGGTCGGGGAAGGGGTAATAGTCTCTGGTCTTCTCAGTTTGCACGCCTGATGTAGAACCTCTGGTCTCTGAGTGATCTGATCTATGGGCAATCAGAGACTCTATAATATCTTTCTGCTTTGCCAGGTAGAGCCTCTATCCTATGCGTGGAATCTGGATGAAGAAAGAGAGCCCCCAACCTCAACTGCCTTCACCTGGGATTTAGCCTCTGCAAAAAAGAATGGAGGGCAAGAAATGATGGCCTGACTTCCATAGACATACAATAACCCTTGGCTAGAAGCAGGGAGAGAGGGAATCTAACCTTTTGGACATACTTTCCTGTAGTGGAACTTCCATGTTGAACTGGCAGAGGTCATGAAGGAAGGGGCAGATCATGCCTCAACTGTGACGGATTCTCACAGTTCTTATCGAGATTTGGTAGATTTTCTTGAATAAGTGTATACTCACTTGCTGTCAATTTTTAGGACAATTTCTAGAGGCTAAACATTTAAAATGTTTATTTATTTTCATTAATTAATTAATCTGAGACATATTCTCACTTTGTAGCCCAGGCTGGCCTCAAGGTTGCAATCCTTTTGCCTCAGCCTCCTGAGTGTGAGATCACAGGCATGTGACACCACACCCAACTTTCTTATTTTTAGGAGAACTGTCACTATTATTGTTGTTTTCCCAGACAGTAAGTCCATGGAATGCCTCATGTTACTCTTGTAGAAGTAGAGCTCCTTTATAGCATTAGTTTTAACTTTCATTTCCTTAATGAATAATAATATTTCACCTTTTCAAAGACTTCTGTATCTAATTTTTTAAAATATTGAATTATTTGGTTTTTTATTATTGATTAGAAGGGGTCCTTTAAGAGTCTGAAAATGAGCACAGTATTTAATATACATGTCAATATTTTCTAGCAGTCTGTGGCTTGCTTTTTATTCAATGATGTCTTTTAACCAACAGAGAGTTTCTTAATTAAAAAAAATTTTTTATTAGGATATAGTCAATGTACAGGAAGGATTCGTTGTGACCCAATTTCAAATAGGCTTATGTTGTACATTGGTTAGATCACCTTTACAGTCTCTCCCCCTCAACTCCTTCCCTGCCCACTTAAAGCAATTGCAAGAGGTTTCTTTATTCTATCTGATGGAAGTATATGAAGTCCATTCACCATATACTTTCACCTTACTCTTCATTACCCTCCCCTCTCCCACAAGTATCCCCCCACTGTACCTATTTTACAGCCTTGTCTTTCATTATTAATATTTAAGTCAATGTTCCAAGGGATTTCTCAATGTGTCCCCCAGTGAGTCTACTTTACCTTTGGTCCATGTAACCCTTTCTATTGCTCTCCTTACCCTTTAGGATGTCCAATGATAATGATTTAATGGCTAGTGTTTATATGTATCCTTTTGAAGAAATCGTTGCCTTGCCAAAGATACTTGTGATATCTTCTTCTGTTTTCTTCTAGGAGCTTTTTAGTTCAACAATTTAATTCTGTAATCCATCTTGAATTTTTTGCTGTGTATGGTATAAAACAGTATTTATTTCAATAGGGGTCCAATTGAATGAGTACCATTTACTTATTATCTTTTACTTACTGAATTTTATCTTTGTCATGAATCAAGGGACCATTTATCATCTTCTGCATTCTAGTCGTTTCCACTGATCCAGGTGTTCAGCCTTGGACTCAAGCTCTACTACCTTAATTACTTTTGTTCTATGGTAAATCTCAAAATCTGATAAATCCTCCACATTTTTACCTTCTTTAAGATTTCTTTAGCTCCTTTTAGGCCTTTTCATCTTCATATAATTGCTTATCAATTTACACACACATATACACATAAACAAACACATGTGGTTGTGCATGCCTGTTGGGATTTTGATCAAACTCTATTGACTTTATAAATCAAAAAGGAGAATTTAGATATTTTAATAATATTGAATCATTTATCTTATGACATGATATATTTCTACATTTATTTAAGTGTTTAAAAACTATGTCTGCAGTATCTGTAGTTTCCAGTACTTTGCACATACTTCATTAGATTTACTTGTAGGAACTTGATTTTTCATGTGTTTTTATTGCTTTGCTGGGTGAGGGTATGTGTGGCATTTACAAAAGTTCTTACAATGTATCAAATATATCATACTTGAATTCACCCCCTCCATCTTTTCCATTATCTCCCCTGCCCCATTCCTGGAATAGTTTCAACAGGTCTCATTTTTCCATTTACATACGCATGTACACAGTTTTTGCACTATATTCACTCTCCCACACCCTTTCCCCACCACCTCCCCTCTCCCACTGGTTCTTTTAAATAGTATTGCTTTTTGAATTTTATTTCAATTGATTTTTCCTTAGAACATGTGAATATAATTTATTTTCACATATTGACCTCACAATCCAGCAGCCATGCTCAATTCACATATTTATTCTAAATTCTTTGGGATTTTCTATGTATTTGATCTTTCTAAATTTCATTTTTGTAACAGTCATAGGTATCTTTCTCCTTCATTTATTTCGGTAAGCCTCTTTTATTTTGTGCTTAATTAAAAATTGTGCTCATTTGCTTCTTTTGATATATTTCTTTTGATGATTAGACAAACAAAAATTCAAATGTAGCTCACTGAAATAACTGGACATTTCATTAGCATATGTAATTAATCCTTAATATTGCAGTATTACTGACAAGAGCTAAGAGTGCCTCAGACAATAGTTTATTTGCTTTGAGCTAAAACTTCCTGTTTTCATGAAACTTTAAGATATCTCCTTTCTGGTGTGGATGTCTCTTCTAATGTACTTCCTAAAAGTTTGTCTTAAGTCATAGATGTATCTGCCAGTTCCTAGAAAATCTTATTTCTCTTTTCTCTGTTCCTCTTTTCTTTAAAGCAATATTAGCTACTTCTTCTGTGTCACTAAGTAGAGATCTCATTTTTATAATCATTTTCACAGTGATGTAATTCATTCTAGCCACTAAAAACCTTTCCTTTGTAGGCCAAAGGATTTGATTAATTGTACTATATTAATATAACGATTGCATTCTGATAGCTTGGCAACTTTGTACACAAAGTATCCTGAGTCAAGTTGAAAGAAACATTTTGTAACCTCTGTTATCATAAAAATTTAGATTACATTGTTTTCACACTAGACTTTGGTTCAGTTGCAGTATAAAAATTCCTTTTATGAGGGTATATATACATTCCCCTGATTGGACTGCCGGCTTAGTGATTCTGTGATTACTTTGCCACTCACCTAGGGTGAAGGTTAAGGACTGGACTTGCTGTATGCCTTGTGTAGGGTCAGTGTTTAGTGAACAATTTTTGATAGATTTGACAAAAAATGTCATCCCAGAACCAGCTGAGTGTTCTTCATAATTTCAAGGGGATTCTCTTTTCTACTATGTCTTCAAAAGAACTTCTTAATTCCCTGGATTCTTTTGATGCAAGAGAAGATGATGTGTTTCTGGTTTCCTACCCAAAATCTGGTGAGTTTGTTTTAATACATATTTTAAATGTAGAAATGCAATAAAAATAAATTTAATAATCATTTTTGCTTATTTACTTTTTAGAATTTTCTATCATTTATTCTAATGAAAAAGTTGATGGTGAAATTTTAAAAATTTGCCCTGAAGAAGATTCTCTTGGAATAATTAAAGTTTTACCAATTTTCTTGTTTTTTATTTTGTTTATAAAGACATATATTGATATATATGTAATATGCATAATATCTGTAACATTAGAAAATTGTCATCATATTTGTACCAGGTATAGTGGTAAATACTATTTTTGTTCAATTCATATTTAATGATCGATTTATAAATATAGAAATTTTTTTCCTACTAATAAAAACCGTAAATATTTTATTTTTAAGGGGGTTCACTTCAAAGTTTATTCCCATTTATAGTTATATATCCATGAAGGGATGGTTTTTATGAATAATGTCATTCTGTATATTATTAAAATCATTTATGCATTCATTTTTGGAAGTGCTGGGTATCACACCCAGGGCTTTGGTGTATGTGAGGCAAGCACTGTACCACTGAGTTATATCCCTGGTGAACATTGGTGATGGCAAGTACAGGGTAGCATGAGATCAGCAAGCAAGAGCAAGGCTCCCTTTGAGTCAAGAGTGCAGCAGAGCCTCTCTCTGAAGCCCAGGAGAGCCCCTCTCTGGGAAGATGCAGTGTTCACATAAGACTAGATATCCCAAGCTGCTTTTTTGAGCACATATGTCCAAACATAATATAGATGATATAGATATAGATACAGATCTTTTGTTTTGGAAAATAATGCTGTAAAGACAAATTAAATGACAGTTCCCAGAATACCTCAGGGTAAAGGTGAAGTATGAATAAATGTATATCCAATTGCTATGTTAGTTTAGAAAGGACTTTATGTTACTTTAAATGTTCTTAGAGCAGGTGGCTATCTTCTATGATCTATAAACAGGCTTCCATTTTATACACTGGTGCTATAAGTTGATATCTTCTGCTACCAATAGCATCAGCTGCCAGCAGGTCCCCTTCATAGCACAAAGCCATGCATATTCTCTTCCTTCATCAAAATAAATCAATATATTCTGCTAAAATAATGCAAGTATGTCTACAATATGAGTCACAATTATATAGATACTATAAGTATTTAAGTCTTATTAAAATTACAATCTAAATGATTTTAATGCTAAAACATATAATAAAAATGAGAGTATTGACTAAATTCTAAATATTTATTCAGTTGTAATCTGCTAGTATTATATTTCATTGAAATTACAATGGGATTAATGGAGATGAGGCCTGATTTAAACTCTTTTGGGGCATTGCTTTCAAATTAGCAAGACCGTCTGCCCCCTCCTACAAACTTATTTCTCCACTCCAATTTACTATTGTCTACAGAACTGGAAAGTATCCGCCATCTTCTCTATGTCAATGTAAAGTTGTGTTCTTGGGCTAGGGGTACAGCTCAGTGCATGAGGCCCTGTGTTTGATCCCTAGCACCTCAAAAAAACAAACCACTGCCAATGACAAAGCAGAATTATAGTTGTATTCTTTACAAATTCCATGCTACTGGGCTTGTATCTGTGGGATGCTTTTATAGAGTATACACTCATTGTTCAAATACTTCGCTTGTAGAGCTATGAGTCAATGCCCACACAAAGAAGGTTCTATGTCTATCTTCAAGGGGGTGGGGATGGGAAGAAAAACATGAACACGTGCCATTGCAACTACTCTGGCGCATGCTCTAACAACTTTGTACAATGTGGGGAGACACCTGAGCAACTCAGCCATGGGGACTCAGAACACAATTTACAAACATGGAAGTTGAATGAGCTCATAGGTGCGAGATCTGTGTGAATTTGTGAATTGAGGGGCCTGGGAGTGAGTAGTAACACAGAAGTGTATTTCAAGCCAAGGAAACAGCAAGAACAGTTGTTTGTACCCTTTTTTCCTTTAAAATGTCATATTACCTATAAAATGAATTAGCATCTCCAAGGTTTCAACAGGTTCTAGTGGTGCAATAGTAACTATTTGTGATAAATTTAATGCTTTCATAACATGCTAGTTTTCTACACTCATTTCATCAAGAGTGATGTTTAATTAAGATTGCTTTTCACTTTATGCTTATGTAAAGGCACTCACTGGGTTGCAGAGGTCATTGAGAACATCCCCAATGCAGGAATTACCCTAACATCTCCTATCGAATTTGGAGACGTTTCTAAATTTGAAGAGCTAAAAGCATATTCGAAGAGAAGAGTAATTCCAACGCACTTGAACTATGACATGTTACCTGTGAATGTCAAACAAAAGCAGTGCAAGGTAAGCTCAGTGGGTTAAGGGTAGAGCTTTGGGACTCTGACAACACTGGACTTGGATTTGCTCTGTCACATGGCTGCAAAGTGGTAGAACAAATGCTGCTTATATTTTAATTGTTTTATTGTCATTTATCAAGGCAGTATATGTGAAAAGATAAGTTACAAATTGTGACACAAAATACTAAAGAATAGGTATTCCAAGCCATTTTAAAAGCTCACACATTATTATCTTAAAAGTGAATTGGAACAGGGGAGATGGCCCAAGTGGTAGAATGTTTGCCTAGCAACTTCAGGCCCTAAGTTCAATCCCAAGTACCATGAAAAAAAGAGAATGAATTGTAATTTAAAAGAATTTTTTTCAATTTTTATATACTGAATAATCCCAAGTTGGTTCAAATACACACACACGTATACAAAAATTGAGGTGTAAGTATATCAGCAAGTCAAGTGGTTTTCCAAAGTATGCTATTAGGGTTCAATTTTATTGTTTTTTTCAGAGTGATATGTATAAGGAACATTTGAAAATTCTGTTTTGATCAGGAAAAAAAGAAAAAAAAATTGAAAACCAAAGACAAGACACATGTGGCAGCTGTATCAAGTTCCTAGAAATGAAGCCTCTTTCGGCAATGTCAGCCTTATTACAAACATAAAACAAAACAGCCTGCCAGTCAGAGATGCATCCATCAAAGGGGATCTTTATGGCTGTCATTCTGTGACCATGGGGCCTCTGTGCCCACCATCTACTCTTCTACACAAGTGAAAAGTACACACAATCAACCACAGACAAATGTCATAGAGTTTGGCTTTGTCTGCAGCAATTCTGTCAGAAAAGGGAACACCTTGACTCACTCAACCCTTCATTTTCCTTCCAAACAGATTGTTACTGAGACGGAGGGAGAAAGGCAAAGAGAAATGCTTTTCAACATGCTTCTTTTTAATTTTTCCCTGATCAAAATAGAATCAAGACAGAGGAAAGGAGAGAGAGGGAGACACAGAGAGAAGCAAAGAGAGAGAGGAGAGAAAGGGGAGAAGGATGGGTCTGATTAACCTCAGTAAACTCCAAACAGTGTACTAGCATTGATAACATGGCTGCCATGTTGCAGGCTGTGAGCTTCCTTCACATTTCAACATGACAAGTGCAAAGGAAATGAAGTTCTCAGGTAGGATATGATGCTTCTTAACTCCCACACCAAAGGTACAGCCTTAGGTTTCAGCCCTTTCACTGCAACCTTTACTGGGAACTGAATCTTCGTGATTCCCCCTGGTCTCCTGAGAGTTTGAACCCTCCATGTTGCTGATGGCTTCGGTCTTCACAGCATGAGCAATGGACAAGTCTTCTTTGTCCCAACAGTGCCTGCCAAGACTGTACTGTCCTCCCCAAGATTTCTCCCCTGGCTTTCAACCCTACTTGGCCTCTGCATTTATTTCTCCTTCTTCATGTTTCTAAAACTCTCTGGTGTAAAACTTATGCCTTCTTGCTCATGTCGTGTTTTGTTAGATATTTGCTTTCTCTTCCCCAAAGTACTATTCTGCTTACTCTTTATTGTCTTTAAACTCCTCCACTAATTCTTCTGATTTCATAGACTACACTCTTTGGCAGAATAGTTTTAATAGATTGTGTTGTATTTCCCAGTAAGTAATACGGATATAAAACTTTAGGGTTTCTCCAAAGGCCCTAAAAACACTTTTCTCTACCAAAACAAGTGTGCCCAACTGAACAACTGAGGTTTCGATTTTTGCCACTTTGTTGCTTATTGTTAGGCAGTGGATTTTAAGGTTCTCCAAGCCTTAGTTCTGTGAATCTCGTTGAGAAGGCCTAGTGTGACAGGTTATTCATAATTGTGTCTTAGGGTAGAGGATACTGGGGAAGGGTGGGATAAAGGTGTTTCTTCATTACTATACACAGTGACCTTTACACATTTCTCAATTAAAGAAGAACAGGAAGCATTCATGTGAACCCACACAATACCTGGACTATGGACATGATACACAGAGATAATTATGTCCTAGAAATGACTCAGAAAATAACTTCTTATCTAAGTAAATTGTGTCTGCCCTGATTTTCAATTAAAAGGCAAAGAGAACACCTTGTATGCATCATGCAACATTAAATGTGATTGCGAGTATGCCTACCGAACCCAGTTTCTCACACTGGTTCCCTGAGGCCTCTTTATGCTCCTCTGTATTCTACATTCCCCTATTTTAACTCCTACCGTACTGCATTGTTGAGAGCACATTTAATTATCTGCTTCCTTCCCCCACTGGAAGTTTTGACATGGATAGAACCATTTCTGTCTTCCTTATCTTTGTATTCCTTGGATATGGAGTATTCGGCACTACCTATTACACAATAGGTACTAAAGCAGTGTTCATTGAATTAAATTGCAGTTGCCATGTTTGTGGAAATTGGGAGGGAATCTCAGATTCCCTGCTCTTTGGAATGAAATTTAGCAAAGGGAAATTCCAAAATATAGTTCTTCCTGTAAGTCATAACTGACAATGTTAAAGCAATCTTGTCCAGAGGTCAGTTTTGTAATATACAGATAACTGAAAGTGATTTTGTCCCAGGGTTTTTCCAATGTCTGCCCCTACTTGGACTAAATTTAGCACATAAATTTAAAAAGTGTGGTCGGTGGGTAGTATGTCACGTGGGAGCTTGTTAGGAATACAGGATGCCAGGTGGTCCTGAATCTCCTGAGTCCAAATCTGCATTCTAACAAGATTCCCTGATGATTCTTATGCACGTTGTGTTTTCACTCTGTGCTAAAGTCACCCGAAAAAGTCATGCTTTGCACAGGGAAGTTTAGCTGCTATTTTGTTTTAGGACTTTTTTTTTTTTTTTGTGGAGCTATTTCAACCCACGAATAAGCTGATTTTTTTTTAACAGATTATCTACATTGTTCGAAATCCAAAAGATACTGCTGTTTCGCTTTTCCACTACTACCGAGATAACCCTAATCTCCCTTGTGTTGAAACATGGGCTGCCTTTTTTGAGCTATTCCTCAGAGGAGATGGTAAATATATTCATAATGTACAGTGAACTTTCTCACTCAAATTGAAAGCATGTTCCAAAAGTGTAATTGGATCCTAACTGTCTATTTTCAGAAATGCTTTGAAGAGATGACTCTTTTATTTCTCCTAAGCATATATTCTCTTTGCTTCTTCACAGTCTTTCTTAGCACATATGCATAGTAACATTATCAGTGATTATTTATTAAGCTAGTTCTAATATTTGCAAAACAGAGACTAATTCTGTAAGCACCTCATTTTTTCATATACCAATCTTTTCAGTAAAGTAATTATGTACCAGCTGGAGTGGATAGGTAGCTTGGATCATACTATGTGTATGTGTGTGTGTATGTGTGTGTATACACCTGCCTGGAAGGTAATACCAAAACAACAAATGCACACATGTTCCCTAAAGACACCAATTAACAAATGCTGAGAGAACTGATTTCATGAAAATTAACAGGAAGTAACTTACCCTGTAAACACCACAGTGAAACCTGATTTGTGGAGCTGCATAGTGCACACTGGTTGTGCTGTGCTCCACCTCTCATTTTACTCTTCTTCCTCTGAATTGGTGTCCAAGGCACTTAAAAGAAACTATTCAGAATGCTTAAACAAGTACTAAAGAAAAAATAATATACCAAGACAATGCAAGAATTTTTAAGACAGACATGAGTTACAAATGGTGAGTATTCAGAGAACCCTGTCTGTGTTTACCGTCAGTGTTCTTAATGGCTAGTGTTGATGTTTTACTGGCAAATTGTTCAATATTTACTTGTTAATTTTAGAGGCCACAGTGCAGCCTTAACATGAGAACATAGGTAACTGCCTAGGATGGGTATAGAACAATAAGCTATACTCATACTTCTCCTGTTATTGATCTACCTTCTTCCTTAACCAATGGCAGACATTCAGCACAATCATAACGTCTTAGGAGTGACAGGTACTTAAAGGTTATCTGGCCCAAGCACCTAGCTGATGTTTGAATCAAGCTTACAACATTTCCAAGAATGATACAGGCTAAGCTTGAACAATTTAACCCTGACAACAAGTTCACCAACCCCATAAAGCATCACATTCCAGAAGTCTGGGAGCTGCTAAGATTTTTTCATTTTAGCATTTACTGTGTGCTGATCATATGGTACACGCTTGAGTGTTGTGCAAACATTATCTCATTCCATCCTCACAAAACACCATGGGTGAGATGTTATTATCCTTACTTTATAGCTGGAAAGAATCTTGACCTTGGGAGTTCAAATAACTTGTCCACAGATGCATGACTAATAAGTGACAGAGCCGAGACCTCATTTCAGGTGTCAGCTTCTACATCTGCCCCTTAGCACTGTGCCATACAAAACAACAACAAAAAAGTTATCCCGATTATTAATTCCTCTTCCACATGGTAGCCTTCTAAATATTTGAAGATAGTTACCATGCCTCACTCTGCCTCCATTCCATTTTTGGAACAAGCAGAGTTTAAATACATAAATTATTTTTTCAGAACAGACCATGAGTCTGCTTTTCCTCAAGATGAGAAATGCTGTTTTTTGTCTCCTGTTGGTTTTGCACACTGTGGTTCCTTTACACTGCATGAACTCTGACTTGGCTACAATCATGTTATTGTACAATGCCCAGAAAGCAAGCATGTCCTAGGTGTGGTCTGACAGGGCTGGTAAAGCAGGACTAGCACTGCTTCTGCTCAGTGATAATGTTTATATGAACACAGCCCCAAAGGTGCCAGCCAAGGACAGGATGCAGCGAGGCTACCAGGCCTTGGAGAAACAGCTGCCTCATCACTACCACACTATCAGGAGTTACAGCAGAACATCTAGAAGAGGCAGAGCAAGGTTGGGAAGATATTCCAGGGGTTTCTCTTATACCTCCTTGGGTGAACGAATAGAGTTTTTGTTGCAATGGGATTTTATCTGTAAGTTTTTTATCTGGGTGATCCAGCCTGTGAAAACACTGTCACCACGAGGAACAGTCACTCAATCACTAAAGATTCCAGAGAAAAATCTACTTTTTGTTTTGTTTTGTTTGTTTGTTTGTTTGAGACAGGGTCTTACTATGTAGTCCAAAATGGCCTTGAATTTGTGGTCCTCTTGCCTCGGCCTCAGGAGTGCTGGGATTACAGGTGTGTACCACCACAGTGACAGGCTTAGAAAAATCTGTTTGGATGTGAGCAGTAGCTTCATGTTTTACCACTTGTAAGATAGGGTAGTTTGTGCTCTCTGGGTGTGTCATACATATGTGACTGTTTTTCAGGGATGGTCTTAAATGATTCCTTGAAGTAAGTGGTACTTTTCTGGAACTGAGAACACGATATAGTAGAAAGAACAGGTGACAGAGGCCGAAGGCATCCAGTCCTGACTATACTTTGTTCCATGTATAATTTTGGACAAATAGGATAATTATTGAGGTCTACACTCCTAATACAAAATAAGACTAATAAAATGATCCACTTTGTAGGATTATTTGGAGGTTCAAATTAAGTAATGACTAAAATAATGTTGTACAAACCAACTTACTTATTTTATTAGACACAGAAGACTTTTGAGTACTTTCACAGAAGGTGGACCTGTTGTAAATAGGTATCCATCTAAGGAGGTTATTTTACAACTGAGGTATTATGATATCCTGTACCCACCTCCAGGTACACACCTTGATCTGAGTTATGTAAGGCGACAATACAGTAAGGAACATAATTAGACTTATCTGTTATTATCTGTCTTTCAGATAGTATATACATACACATTAGCTTTTCAAGTTAAGCAATAACTATAAATTATATTCTGGTAATAGCATATTAGATTAATAGCTCAATGAAATGGGTATCTTTGCAAAGTTCTCTCTTCATTCTTAAATTAATACTCTCTATTTCCTGGGAACTTCAACCTAGAGAGTTTTGCTTTTCTGCACAATTCTTATGTCTTCAGAGAGCTATCTAGAAACTAAAACCTAACACACTCATTATAGTTGGAGGCAGGGAGAAGGTTTGCAGAAAGTGTGGAAGGTCTGTGACAGCTGACAGGAAGAATGGAATTGGTGATGTGGGATAGGTGGGTTGGTTAGGAAGCACTGGAGGCCATAAGGTTGGAAAAAATGAATCTGCAATGGTACAAACACAGAGTTCTATAAATTTCTCCAGCAACACTTGACAGCAATTGGAGAGAAGAAATGAAGGGTAAAGTGATTGATTTGGTACTAGGTGGTTTTTATTTTTTATTTTTAGTTGGTGAATAAGCATTGAGGCAGCAAGAAAGGTGAAGGTATTGCCAAAGAAATGGTTGAGGGGATAAGAAAAGGGAAGAAAGTGAAGCCAGAAAGGGACAAGAATGTTCAGAGTAGGGTATTGCAGGAGCTATCCACTGAAGTCACTCTAGACGATGGTGAGACCTGAGATGACATGTAAGATTGTGACCCTACTCCCAGTCTTCACTGACGTTAGAGAAGATAAAAGGTTATTGATGACTGAGATCAGAAAGGAAAGAGTTCTATAGTCCAAGGACATGAGTCTCAAAGAATCCAGGATTCTATAGGTTAAGAGAGTTCTGGAAGTTTCTAGGAAGCAAACCCTATGTCACATGGGTTGGGTGAGAGCAATTGTGTCTCATCAGGGAAGATGGATTTTGGAAGGCAGAGGGAGGGAAACCCAGGCATCTGTGAGCTGGGAGGTAGTGGAATATCTCTGCATTTATGTGAAGGGTGTAGAGAAAATTATTTCTCACATACATTTCAAATCTCTGTTCTGGAAGCTAAAGGTCAACTAATAATCTGGACAATGGCAATTCTGCTTTAGAAATTAAACAAAATTTTCATCTAAAAATTCTTATCATTTTAAAAACACCTTTCAAATGTAGTACTAATCTACCTTCCTATGTTAGGAAGGAAAACACAGGCAGCGAATTTCTTTGAATTCCTTTGGTGGGCTTCAGTCCTTTTGGAACAAGGTGGGGTATAAATTAATTTGTGAATAATAGAACAGCTGGCTTTCAAATTATGACCAGATGAGCTTCAAAATTCACTCTTAAATGTATTTTGAGGACTGTTGCAATACATTTCCTGAGGAACCATATGGGCAAGGTCAGTTACACCTAACCAGGGCAGTGAGTCTGGTGTCTGTGTCCACCCCACCATTGGCCATAAGAGCATGGCTTTCACACAGCATTAGTGGCCCTGGGCAGTGACATCATGCAGGGGGACTGAGTGGTGGCTGTTGGTGGGACTGGTGGAGGGCCAGGTTGCAGAGTGAGCATATTCTGAAACACTAGAGATTAAATTTGCCTGGGGGAAAATTGGTCTTCCTCTTACCAAGTGTCGGTGTCCAGGAAAAGGTTGGCCATTCTTAGAAAAGAAATCCCATATCACTGATGTGGTAATTTGGGCAATTCTAAGATAAAGTATTGTGCAAGTCACTGAAACAGCCTGTCATTGCTGATACCTAAAGGCTGAAGATATCCTGGCAGCAGTTTGAGTTTACTATCAAACCTTGGGTCTCTGAGGTAGCAGGCTGACTCAGTAATGATGTCACAGTAGTCCTGGAAATTCTTGTTTTAAAAATACACAGGGTTGATTTTTTTTTTTTTTTTTTGCCCTTTGTCTCCTTAAAGCTGGAAGTCATGAGAGATTGCAGTAGGGTGTAGTTAATCATGCTTTAATTTATCCATTAATTAGTGGTTAAAATGTCTAGCATGATTTCTGGCTACTTATTAATGCTTAATAAATGTTTATTTGATGAATCAGAAGTCAAAGAACCTTCAGGAAAACACTAGTGGAACAGCTTTTGTACACTTAGGGCACAAACTAGAATTTGGATTTTGGATGATAAGGATACAGGAATGATGTATATATAGAATTTTAAATTACTATATGTTATGCATAATGGTTTAAGCTAGTTGGCATCATGAGATGACAAAAGTGAGTTGTTATTTTTAATCATCATTTCTGAAAAGCTTACTTTGCATGACAACATTTTGCTTTAAGCCTTGGAATTTTTAAGACTGTCGTTTAATAATTTATCAACTGCAGTTAAATTCTTACACTGTATTTTTTAGTCTTGAACAAAATGAGTAAAATCTTTTTAAGTTTAATATAATTTTCATTTAAATTAAATTTATTTTTAACAAATACATAAAAACAAAAGTTTAAGTCTCTTTCTAAAGAGAAGCTTATAAATTTTTATGGTAAGAACCTGTAACTGAAAAAACATTTACCTTACAGGAAGAAAATGACAAATCCTCAATGTTTCCCTATAAGAGTTAAGCAGTAATCAGAACACAATTATTCAGAAAGTGTGCATCTCCATTTTTGCCACCATTTTTGCTGGTTACTGTAAGAATATTTACTTGAAATAAGGAAAAAAAATCAATGGGGTTGCTAAAAGAAGATACACCCATCCACTTTCATATCACAACATGGTGTTTAGTTGAAATAATAGTGAAATTGAGAGACTTCTAAGAAAGTCTTGCTTCAGATGCAGGCAAATCTATGCCTCACTTTGACTGTTTTGGAGAAGTGGAAAGAACACAATGATGTAAACCCATGATTTTTTTCAATAACACAAAAATTCGCTTTGCTTCCAGTTGTGTATGGATCCTGGTTTGATCACATTTTAAGCTGGGAAGAGCACAAAAATGATAAAGACATTCTAATTATATTCTATGAAGAGCTGAAGAAAGTAAGTCCTCCTTAATATCTTGACAGTCGAAATTTAAATCAGATTATGTTAAAAGAGGAACTCAATCAATGAATTGTGCTTGCAGTTTTCAGGGAATCAATTTGGTGTTTTGGTAAGAGTTTTGATCTTGTTAATTTTCTTATTACTCAGGATTTTGCTAAAAGCCTAAAGAAAATAACTACTTTCCTTGATATAAATGTGAATGACAATGAAATTAATAAGATTGCTTCAAAAACATCATTCAGTGAAATGAAAAACAATGCAGTCAAAGAAAACTTTGATCCAAACCACACGATCTGTGCCCTCACGGCTGACAGGAACCTGGTGTTCAGGAAAGGTAAGCAGGAGACACCCTGCTTGGTTTGGGGCTTTGGCTTGGAAGAACAGTTGTCCCTCCCAGGCTGCAGGCTTCTTGCCTGGGACTCAGCCAACCACAGACTGAAAATATTAGAAAACAAATGTGGCTATCCTTAACATGTACTGACTTTTCATGTCATTATTCCCTAAACCATATGTAGCACAACTATTCATATAGCATTTACATTGCATTGGGTGTTATAGTCATCTAAAGATGACTGACAGTAATGGAGGACATGAAGGTGTTATATGCAACTATGATGCCATTTTTTGTAGGCAACTTGAGCATCTCAGAGTTTCCCTGGAACCAAACCCCCTGTATACTGAGGGATGACTCATTTTGAACTTTCATTTCACCTCTGTACTCCCCATCTCTTGGACAATGGGTTGTACCTTTTTGTCCTCCATGAAGGTTTATTAACTGGAATTTTTAATTGCATTCTTTCCAGAGTTGGGATTGCCATGACCACTTAGGAGAGATCTACATAAGAGTCAAACAGATGACAATGATCAGGCTATTTAAAGGATGTACTTCGGATCTGCAGCGTATTGCTGTTGTTAACAATTTACTTGAATTACATCAACATGCCCACTTAGACAAAGCCAATCAAGTACAGTCTCCTCCCCACCACTGGGGTAGGTCACTCAAACCACCATACACACCACCTGTGTTAGTCTAATTTTGTCACTGTGAAAAATATCTAAGAAAATTGTTAAAGGAGGGAAGATTTATTTTGGCTTATGGTTTCAGTCCAGGGTCAGCTGGATCCGTTGCTTTTAGGTTCAAGGCAAGGCAAAAACATCATGGAGGAAGGGCATGGTGGAGGAAAATTGCTCACCTCATGGCTGCCAGGAAGCAGAGAGAGGAATAACAGGAAGGGACTGGGGAAGCAAAACCTCCAAGAACATGCTCCCAGGGACTTCCTCTAGGCCCCACATTCTACAGTTTTCAGCTTCTCCCAAAATGGCACCACCAGCTGGAGACTAAGACTTCAATACCGGAAACCTTCTTGGAGAGAGGGGACACACATTTTATATCCCAACCACAATACCACCCTCCTGAAAAAGGAGGGAAAAGGGAATTCATGTGGATGGTGCATTGTCCCAAATACACCAAGCAGATAACTCTCCCAGCAGAAGTAAGGAAGGATGGGGAAAGAAGATGAGATTGTTATCTAAGGATGTTTGTATGCATGGAAACACAAAGACAAGGAAGTAAATCCTCCCCACTAATTCTTCAGGTTTAACTTAGAAGCAAGTGGGGCATATCTGGATATAGAATTGTTTTGAAGTCATGTAAATTTTTATCCAGATGGTGGGGAAATATTTTATAACTTACAAAGGCAAAAGGTACTCAGATTTCTTACTAGAAAAATAATCATTTATTTCCCAAGTGAATATAATTTCCCCCAAAGCAAATATTTTCCAATTCATGTAAAACAGATACTGTAACTTTGCAAATTATATTTTGTTTTGGTGTTTTTTCTTTTTTATTTTCTTACAGACACAAAGCCAAGGCTAGGAAAGAGGTGAGAATTCAAATCAGTAAATATTTATTGATAAATAATTACTTCTAGCAATATTAAAAAATTGAATAACACACAGCCCTTTTTTTCAGATAACTGTAATCTAAAAATAAAAAGTGCTAATGGCTAGACTGGTAACCAACAAATTTGACCAGAAGCATGAGTAAGGGTGACATCATTTTTCCCCAGCAAAGTAGGGTGAAGAAATCACACCAGGTCTAAGATGATAAATATACTATCAGGGAAGTACTGGGAAGGAAATTCATTGTAGATGTGTTAACACCAACAAGAAAAGCCCAGAGTCACTGTGGAGTTGGACAGTGTTTTTCTAGAAAGAGCAGATGGTCCCATGGGCTAGAGTGGCATAGGCATGAGCACGATGAGGGAGATAAAGAAATATTGGCGCCAGAGAGCAAAGGCTTGGCTGGATCTCACAAGGAGCTCTTTTCTTTTTTCCTTGTTATTTTGAGAAGAGAATTGACATGATCAGACCTGTGTGGTAGAAAGTAGTAGGGGCAAGGTGGAAAATTGATAAGGACAGAGTGAAGTGGGGCAGAAAGACCAATTAAGAGGTTGCCATACTCATTCAGTAAGAAGCATTGAGAGTCAAAATGGCGGCATGACAGTGGGATCTGCTGGGTGGAATTCAGGTCAGAAGGCAATGTGGAGACCAGCAGCAGGTTATAGAAGAATTGTCAGGGTTAGTGGGAAGAGGTGGTGCAGCAAGTGACAGAAGATGAAACCCTGGAAACCCTAACATCCAGGAAAATGAAACGGCCCAAGGGGAGCCAAGAAAAAAGATCAGCCAGAATTAGGAGGGAGCCAGGATCAAACAGGGCACTTGGTTTATCACTCATAGCCTCTGATAGCCCAGGTATCATACTCATACAGATGGGAGCCAGACTGCAAGGGAGAGAAAAAAGGGGGAGGTGCAAATGTCTCTTCTGAGACACTTGAGATAGGAGAACAGGAGCAAGATAATGTGGGAGCTAGGGAGAGGAAGGGAGGAGGAAAAGATTAGGAGGGGATGGACAGAAGCACTGAAAGGAAGACAGAAAGGACTTAGAAAAGGACACAAGTGAGGAAGGCAAAGTAAGGTGAGGAGACAAGAAAATTGTGAGAAACCATGGTAAGAGGAAAGTGAGAAATGAGGAATTTCTGGCACATATTGATGTCATGTTTATCATTGTCTTCTGAGATTCTGATAGCAGTCATTGCTAGTCTCAAGTCTTACCTACACACTTGTGAAATATTACTCTAGTGGGAATGGGTTATTCTCTGACCTGCCATAGGAGAACGCTGGCAAATACCCCAGATGAAATCACATTGACATCATTGTAGCTACCACCATTAACTCTAGTGCATCTAAATTCTGTCCAAGAAGTATTGTCCTGTGCTGAAGCTAAGCACAGAAGGTTCCCAGTAGAAACATCCTCTCTGACATTAGTCACCAGGGGTACCTGCTGGTGCACCTGTGTTCTGTGAGGACTTGAACACAGGAGGGACCAGTAGTCTGTTCCCTCCATTCCTTTCATTGGGTAGATGGGGTGGGAGTCAAAGGTCCATAGCCTGAAAATAACTGTTTCAGATAAACTACTGAAGTTCTTGATGCAAACTCCTTGGCACACAGAGAAGTCCCCTTTATATGGCACTGTTGTCTTCACTTTGAAGTCAAAATTGGAGCTCGTATTCTAGAATGTGACTATGGTGGCCGTGGTGATGATACAGGCATCGGAAGTCCCAAGGGCCACGCATATAATAAGATAAGGGGACAATTACAGGAGTGTATAAGGATGTGTGGATTGCATGTTGTGATATCGCTTATAACAATGGAAACCTAGTATGCACTTATATGGTCACTAATCAGAAAGTGTGTCACACATCTACATAAGGATTTAGTATAAAGTCATGAAAATTATAGAAAATCATGTAAGAATAACTAGATTGTCCAGGCATCATGGCTCATTGTAATCCCAGCTACTTGGGAGGTAGAGTTTATTGCAATTTGAAGACAGCCTGGGCAAAAAAAATTAGCAGGATTTCATCTCATTAAGAAACTAGGCGTGGTGGCACACATCTGTGATCCTAGCTACCTAGGAGGTGAAGATGGGAAGACTGTGTTTGTAGGCTGGCCCGCACATAAAGCACAAGACTCTATCTGAAAAATAACTAAAGCGCAAAGAGCTGGGGGGCTTATTTCAAGTGGTAGAGCATCTGTTTACCAAATCCAAGGTCCAGAGTCCAAAACTCCATGCTGCCAGAAAATAGCTAGCATTTCTTGAGAGCTTAAGATGTGCCAGGCACTTTACATGGTTTCTCTTACTTAAACTTGACAATAGCTTGAGGATGGCACTGAAACATCAAGCACCTGAGCAACTTAGTCACACAAGTAGGAGGTGTAGAATCTATTGAGTGTTCTCTCTTTCTCTTTTAGTTGAACTAAGGGTTTTTCAATTTCCAAAAATTAACTCACAGTTTCATTGATGTTTTAGAAAACTGTCTTGCTATTCTCCATTTATTTCAACTTGAATCCTTAGTATTTAATTCATTTCTCTAACTTTAGGTTGAGTTTTTTCTTCTTTTCCTGGTTTGTTAGGTGTAAAGTTATGCTGTTTATTGGAGATATTTCTTCTTTCTTTCATGTAGGCATTTGTCATCATAAATTGCCATTTGGTACTACTCCTGTTGTGCCCCATACATTTTAGATGTTGTGGTTTTAGTTTTGGTCTTGAAGTATTTTCCAATTTTCTTTTGATTTCTTCTTTGATCTATTGGCTGTTCATCTTCTGTTCAACCGTAGTTTTTACTGTGGGTGTATGTTTACTGGCATGATCAAGTTATAACGTGGGTAGTTGATATGGTTATCTATCCTGACAAAGGAAAACTGCTGAGAGAATGCACGCCATGTTACTTGAGTGTATTTCCTCGGTTTTTAATCTTCTTTGCTTATATGCATTTTCTATAACCTACATATACACAACCGCAATAATATTTAAACTTTTTTTTTGGTGCTATTGAGTTTTGAACTTTGACTTGCTAGGCAATCGGGCTGAGCCAGGCCTCTAGTCATTGTTTGCTTTAATTATTATTATTACTATTGTTATTATTGTTTGTTTTATTTTTTGTTATTGTTATTGTTAGTCTTGAACTTTTGCCCTGGACAGCTTTGGACCATGATCCTCCTCCCTACACTTATGATGCAGCTGGGGTTACAGACGGTACAATGTTCCCAGCTTATTTGTTGAGATGGTGTCTTGTGATGTTTTGTCCAGGCTGGCCTCAGATCATGATCCTCTTAATCTTCATCTCCCAAGTAGGTGGGATTACAGGTATGGATCACTATGTCCAGACAAAATTTTTTCTTAAAAAAATCAAGAAAACAAATCAGAAATTAGAAACCACAGACAAGCAAACAAAATTCAAGTCAAATGAAAGAAGATAATGATAGTGCAGGTGAACTGGTAAGGAGCAGGAAGGGTGAACGTAGGGTCAATGGATATTGTTCATTAACAGTAGTACTGCTCTACTATGGGCCTGGTTCATCGACATTACAAAGTTGGCCTTATGTCCTAATTGGCATAATTTAGAGGCAATCTAATTTCCTGACTTCAAGATTTTCTTTCCAATCTTTCTAATGCTAGCCTTGTTTCTCCTCCTCCCCTCCCTACCCAACAGAAGAATTCCTCTTCACTCATTCTTGGGTTCAGTTTTTTGGATCAGGAATTAGCAACATCACAGATTCCTAGTATGTAATATCTTTCTTTGCTGTGGGTCACATTGTCTGACAGTCAGTCAAGCACAGGTATTTACTGGGCACCTAATGAAACCCCTGAGCACTGGATGAGGACCTGCAGGATTGCACACAAATAAAACACCACAGTCCCTAACTTGAGAGAGTCTTGTTGGAAAGAAAAGATGATAGAGAGCAATATAAGACAGCCCAAAATGTAGGGACAAAATGATGTAGCCCTGCTTCTTATATCTGGAGACCCCAAGCATGAAATGAGGCCAGAAGTGGCAAAAAACCCCCAGTGGGCCAGAGCCAGGTCTGGGGTTTGGCATAGTGGCCATAATGGAGGTGAGAAGGGATACTTAGAGGGGTTGACCCTGTGGCCAAAGCTGAGCAAGGTAATTTGTGAGATCAGGAGAGGCTGATGAACTGTGAGATACATACCTTATCAATGAAACCTGATGTTTATTAATTCCTCATTATTAATTTTGTAAAATAAAGTTCCATGAAAATAAAACTAATTACTCATGCTTGTGTTATGTTATCACCCACCTTCTGCTAGGACATTGCCTGAGCAAGGAAATAAATGAAAGAGTATTATGCCCATGTTGCTAATTGATGGTTTTATTGTGCTTAGATTAGAAACTTCTTTGACTGATATACTAAAACCTATGGTGTTCACATATTTTTAATCTTTCTTTCTTTTTAAGAAATAACTTTTTAAACTGTAAAAATTAATACACAGCCATTGCAGAAGAAATGAGAAACAACAGATAAGATGACGGGGGAATTATTTTTCATTTTCTTATTACCAAGAGATACCAAGTGTTCACATTTTATTATAAAACTGACAGATTTCTTTTGTGAGCACTATACATTTAAATTGGTTCTTGTCTGATACATTTTCAATTTTTCCAGGAGTGGTGGGTGATTGGATAAACTACTTTACTTCAAAGCAGAAGAGAGTGTTTGATGAACTATTCACAGAGAAAATGAAACACAGTGAAGTGGCGAGACATTTGAAGGAGTTCTCTTAACACAGCCGGAAAAGGAAACCAATTTCCATTTTGTGCAACGCAGTGCCTGAGGAACATGTAAATATTTTTCACTGATGTGGAAAGCAGATATTTCTTTCAGTGAGAAACAGATACTTCATAAATGTGTCAAAAGCATCATGTGTGAGAGACTATTATTATCTTATTTGGAGATAGCAGAGGAATATTAATAGAAGGAAGTATAAAATTTTTGAATGGCTGAGTTATATATTGGTTTTCAGGATATTCAGTAAGGCAAGGGGATTATTTCTATTCAGAAGTATAGTAATGAAGGTGTTCAATAAGCTGCATTAATGCACAACAAAGGAGGTGAAGAGCTGTCTAAAATAATCGATATCAGAGAAGAATTCATTTTCTGCCCATTTGGACAATCATGACCTCTAAGCCAACATTTCTATTTCAACATTCCCCTGTGTCTGTGTAAGAGATTTTCCATTTCATAATCATGGCAAACACAATCTTAGTAAGGTTGAAATACCTAATAGGTAGATTATATCAAATGACCACATTCCAATATGCTGATAAAAATGAAGACTGGAATTATAGTCTTTCACATTTCCACTGGCTCAGCATTCCAATGTCTTCTTTGTCTTCAGCTAAATGGCAAGTTTTCTTAAGTTCCAAGTTTCAAAAGCATAATTTTCCTGATGTTTTGAATATGTATGCTTTCTCCCAGAATCATTACCAACATCCAATCTTTCTTGTAATGAGTATTAATCTATAACTTAAAGCTAGAGGACATTGTAATGAAATTTCAGTGAACTTATTTTAGCACTATTTGTTATATAAATGATACTATAAAAATTTTGTCATTGTTTACATCTGTCGTAGTACCTAACTCAAGGATTCCTGGAAAGTCAAAATGGCATATTGTGTACAATTCTGAGATCTTCATAATGTGCACTTATTTGTTACAAATAAAATGTCTTCCTTTTGATTTCATGCATTTTTTCCTTCAAAATAGACATTCCTAAAAATTTACTCAGATACCTCCCTTCTTCAAATGAATTGGTTAGCAACTGACAAAGGCAATTAGGGGTGAGCCTGAAAATCATTTTCGTGTTGGAGCTCTAGGTGGGCAGGGAATGGCAAGCCATCAGAGTAAGGAACAGAAGACCTAATGAGGTGGCAAATGAAGGAAACCATGACTGTAGGGTTGGAGGAACCAGATCCCATGAGGCTGTCCCATCCTCTCACAGAATTATAGTGGTATTGAGATGGAAAGAACTAAGGCAGTATTTGATGACAATATAGTAGCGTGGGATATGAATCAATGTGAACTGGTCCTGCTGGTCAGAATGCACAGGAAACATAGATGGAGGTCACTGCTTGACTTGCTTTCATGAAAACTGCATATTCCCAACTATGTATGATGACAACCCTAACCAATCCTTTTTAATTTTCATGGAAGAGTTTTAATAACCAGGTCTCAAATCCCTTTCCTGATTAGTATTTTGAAGATGAGAGTTTACAAAAATTATTTCATAAAAGCTTATTCTGTATTCATCAGTCATCAGTTCAGTACTACTAACAAATGATATCAAGAAGCTGTATCTTGGTACCCACAAATATAACAGCATGTCATCAATGGTTCTTTCATTAAAGAGGCTAAAAGACAAGTAAAATATCCTTCAGTGGTGACTTTTTTTTTCTTTTACCTGCTATACATATCAGACACAAGCAGGTACTTACAAAGGAAGTACAAGGTGGGGTCTGCATTGAGGGAGATGCCACCTTCCCTAATTTCAGCTCACACTCACTGTGTCTGCTTCTGCTCTGGAGACAGAGCAGGGTCAGCAAATAGACAAATAGCTTCTGGTAAGTTCTTTCAAATCCTACTGCTTGTCCTTTGCCTGTTTCTTGGATCACTGCCCAGAGAAGGGAAGCAATCGTAGTCACCAAACTGGCCAGGTGGGCTAACTCTATCCCAGCAGTCCTGGAAACAGTTGCAGGCTGGCTGCTCTTATGTTCATGCTCACTGGAGACTTCCTTTTCCTCCGAACTTTGACCTACCATTCTGCTTTCTCACTTCCTTGGATGTTGCACAGTCACGCTCATTTTTTCACCCATACTGCCCCCCTCTACTTCTCTATTGATTTCCTTGGCCACTTATTTTTCTTCCTTCATTTCTCTGGCTTACCTCTACCTTTTTGTAGTCAATGGGTAACTGCCAAATGTCAAAGATTCTTCTAAGTTTCCATGTACCAGCACTTTGTCACTTCCCAGGGTTCAGAGTACCTGAAAGGCCTTTCTTACCATCGTCTATTAACATTAGTTCTAGGGGAAACTGATAAGCCCTGCTTTTTGACCTCATTATTTTTCAGTTCTTTTCTATTGACACTGCAATGACTCTTCACTTTTACTTTACTTCTCAGTCTTATCAGTCAGGCCTTGTATTATAAGTGAATGTCCATCTCCCATTCTGGCTTGTAAAGTTCTTGCAGTTAGAGTCCATATCCTCTTCCTTTGTGTCTCTTAGCCCAGCACAGCACTCACAGAGGATGTTTCACCAACGTTGAATATGATTTGAGTTCTTGAACAAATTTAGATTCTTCATCTTCCAGAAAGCTCATTCCAACCTCGCAGCTGATGTTGCTCCTATTTTGTTGTGTGTGTTTTCCTAGCACTTCATGTCTACAGTAGTCAATGCTTTTTTAAAACCTAATAATATATTCTGTTCCATTACTGCTTAAACTGTTTCACACTGCACAAGTCTTTTCTTCTCAATTTTACTATAAACTTAAAGACATCTTATAGGAAGCTTCTTCAGGAACTGATGTAGTATATTGACCACAGGAATTGCTTAATAAGTGTGTATTGAACAGAAGAATGAGTGAACTAGCAAATGATTTAAAGACTGAATGAATGAATACATCCCTGTTTCTTCATTTAATTTTTGAGTGCAAACACTCATTTAATTCTTTGTTTTTCCTTTACTTACCAAATCAAACTACTCACAATATGCTTCTGGTTCTTAATTTTCAGTATCGCCTAACAATTCTTCTTAAAGTATGAAAATGGAAAAATGAGATCTGTTGAAATTGGAATAAGAATAGGAGGAGGGATGATAAAGGAGAATGATGGAAAGGTGGATTCAAGTATCATATATTTAAGATCTTTGGTAACTATCACAATGTACCCCCCCAGTATAATAGTAACAAAAAATAAATTAATTAAAAAAAATAAGTAAGATTAATTCATATATAAAACATAAAAATCATATATACTAATGGGTTATTGTGCAATGTTTCAATAGAGGTATACATTGTGTAATCTAGTTAAACACATCTATCTCCTCAAAGTCTTCTCACTTCCTTTCTTCTAGCTTTTTGAGATATACAATACACAATCTCTGTCTATGGCATCTTCTTTAATCCAATCTGAGTTTAATGAAACAATTTTCAAACATTAAGGTAGGCAAAGATTAATAATAAATCATAAAAATGGCTACAGAGGTCGTCTTTAAGGTACATAAATCTGACATTCACTCAGTGTGTGTTTTGACCTTTTCTTTATTCTATGTAAGACTATCAAATAGAGTTTTTCACACATTTGTAAAATACCTATTAAAATCAACTAACTGAAAATCAGTGTCAAAGGGGAATAATGTCACATTTCAATAAAATGTCCTGTTTCAATAACATTCATGCTACTTACTTTTAATGAAGTCTAATGAAAGGATCCCTGGACCCTTTTCTAGATGCACAGATACAGATCTAGATGGAACTGTCTAGAGTCAGCAGAGGACTTAGTTAAAAATGGCCTTTATGGCTGCTTTAGGTGGAAATCTACGGGATATAAGAGCCAATGAGTCATCAATCCGCTAGCCCCATAAGCAGCCAATTAGGAAAGTAATTACAGGAAAATGCTGTGTGCTCCACTGAGATAAGGACAGAGGATTACTGCCCTTCCAAAGTATGAGCACAATCTCAACTATAACAAAACAGATTTAGGTAAATAAATGTGAGGGATGTTTTTGGTTCTTTTGCAATGTGACCATTAGTAGTTTAAAACTTTTTCATTATTGGGATACAGTTATGAGGGCTTACTAACTTTTAACTGTTAACTGGTTGTATTACCAGTATCCATGGGATTAAAAGAAAATTCTCAGACTGTAAGTAATGACAGGATTTTAAATGTGAGCCACTCTACGAGTATGATGAACTTGTGTGTTTAGGTAATTATAAAATTGAAATAATTTGCTATTATTTCAATGACATGTTACTTTGTAATATCAAATTTACTCTTATAGAAGTGAGAAAATGTAGAAATTCTCCATTACTTTTCTCCTTCATTTTGTCAAAGATTCATAGGCACAGGATGTGTCTGGTAAGTGACAACTGTGGGAAAATTCAGGCAGGGGTGAGGGAATGCCCTTCTGATGACCTGACAGGTCCTGGGGAGAGGGCACATTTCTGGGTAATTGGCCCAAAGGGAATTTTGATTAAAATGAATTAGTGTGACCAACTAAATCTTGCTAGGTTGTGTACAGCTAACTGGAAAATGATATAGAGAAGTTTATTCACTCCAGACAGAAACACTTTTAAATCATTTGATACAAATATAAAGTTAATACTAATTTTATTCCAAGTGGCAGTTCTGACCAACTCAGTAAATATTTTATTCTTCTGTTTGTATAGTAAAGATTCCCTCCCCTTAGACTTATAAGCTCTGAGTTAGAATCCTTGAGCCTTGTACAAAATGCAACTAAAAATAAGACCCAGGGGGTGATGTGGCTCCAGTGACAAGCCTCGTCACAGTGCTCCCTCTATGATGCCGGTTGAGCAAAGGTCAGGTATGGCAGAAGGGACAACTAGGAACTACGTAAGTCTGGCTTGATTCGAGTCCTATCATAAACAGGACTCTAGGCTCAAGTAGGCACCTGGTCTTCATCATAAATTTTGGTTCTGGAGTTTTGTCAAGGTCCAGGTGTCTGCTATGAAATGCAAGATAGAGAATTCAAAGAAAGGAACTTGAACAGT